ACTGACCTGGGTGTCTGCAGGGCTGGTTCTCTCACAGATTCTCACTCCTCTCTTGGGCTGCAATTGCTCATGTGCAGTAACTTTTTCACCTTAGCCAGAGTGTGTCCATCTTGGAGTTGACTGCACTGACTGTTGGATGCAAGGAAAGCTTCCAGCAGCTTCTCACCTGTAGATCCCCTTCTGCCAAATCCTTCTATGCAAGGTTTTTTGAAAACATGTTGTTTTTTAAACCCAATATACATGTACAACAACATACGTTGTTTGGAAAAAGTTTCTCTTAAGTGTGATAGAGACTACCTATTTTAGAAAAGAGTTTGTATTTGTTTTTGTCTCCCATGAACAGAGGATATTATTTATAGTGTCTGTTCCCTGATGCCACCCAAAGGTATGCAGATTGCTGAGACCTTCTGATTTCTCAAGGTTAAATCAAACTGAAGGCAAACATTTCTCATCCAAGGTAACTGAGCCAACTTACTTGCTTTGGCACTGATACCACATCCTAAAAAAGCAGGTTTTTCTTGCTTTTGGGCAGGTGGCTAGAATACCATATAGAGTTCATTTTTGACTGTCAGGATTGAAATTGTTTCCCAGCCATGGCGAAATATACATACATCTGTTAACTATTAAATTGTGGAGAAAAAAACCTTTGCAAAGGTCCGAAATATACCTTACATGAATGGAGTTACATGAAAGTAGCTCCATTAAATTCTGATCAAGAAAATTAACGCAACTCTTGTAGACTCTGTTCTTAAGCCAGTGAGAGTTTAACTACAGACTAAGGCAATGATGGCATAGATGGACATTGCAAGCATGTCACAGACTTACGTAAAAACTGATTTTTTTTTGCACTTACCAGTATGTTTTTTAACAGATGCTTGAATATTGTGTATCAAAACTTGTGTATTTTAATTCCTTTGCCTGTGCTATTCCTAAAATGAACCTTTAAAATGGGAAGGATCAGAGGTGTTAAACAGTAATCTTTACTTCAGAGTAAGTACGTTTCAGAAAGTGAAAGACTACTCCTTATTAGTAGAAGCTTTTTAAAAGATCGTTCAGTAATTATAACTCATGCTAATGAACTAGATACAAAATTAACAAATACTGTTAATTGTTACTTACACTAATTGTTCTCCTAAGAATTCATTCAGACATCTTCTAAATTAAATTTAAAATGTCATATCTGAGCGCTATCAGCAGTCAAGATTACAGGCAGAATCAGAGAAATGAGTCTAAGAATACTCAACTAAGAAAGAAAATTAGGTTTTTATGTTACTTGCAAAATATACAGTACAAACTGTAGCAAAGGCCTCTCTCACGAGTTGATGTAAAATTCCTGATGAGCTAATTGTGCTTTTTATTGATATTTGGCTTGAGGATTTTATGTTTTCCTGTTGTCATTATTGAAGAGTGCTAGAAGCATTCCACAGTAATTCTTTGCTTCATATTGTATTAGTTTTTCTTGGAAATATTGACCATTATAACTCTTATTTATTAACATGGACCTAAATCCAAAAAGTGTGTGACAGTTGCCTGTCTGGCTACCCTTAAGGAATAAGGTTTATTGAACACTTCACTTTCTTCTCAGAAATTATGTTATACAATTTGTGTTAGTAATTTGGCTTGGTAGGATTGCACAGAAAGATGGGTAACAGTTTTCTTGCAGGATAAAAGCTAAAATGGTTAGCTAGCAAAATGAGCGAATAATAGTTTATACATTTAGAGCAAAAGACGTATTGCCAATGTAGCACACACATTGTCTCCTCCTTGCAATTTAGGTCAGAGATCTGCAAGATCCATGTCAGAGAAGGGCAGTTTTACTAAGTGGATAACTTTGATTATGGAACAATTTGTGCTCTCTTTGTAGGAGCAGAAACGACAAGTTTTGGGTTTGTTTTCTCAACAAAAGTCAACTGTCGTAACAGCAATTAAAAATAATTTACTGTCATGAACCAAATATGGCTTTCTGAAGGCTGCAGCCTGTTTTGGTGGGGTTTTTTTGGTTATTTTATTTTGTTGTTTTTTCTTTTTGCATAAATGGTTTATTGATCCATTGTGGAGTAATTCAGCAATGGAATTATATTGAAAATTAAAACCCTTAGTAAGTAATGGATGATCCAATTTCCTGTGGCTTGAGCTTATTGACACTGTTTGTTACTAATGCATGCAGGGAAAACTTCAAGTAAAACTTTGTTTTTAAATTTCACCTGCATTCCATAGGGTAGTTTTTGCAGGAGGATTACTAAAGCGGATGCTAAGTCCCTAACTGCTGTGCGCAAATACCACGCTAACATTTTGAAATAATTTTTTAGGAGTATAGAATTTCTTTCATCTCTTGTTCACAGTTCTGCAGCTACTTATTGTTTATGATACATTTTGAAGTTTTTTCTATTTGATCTACATATGAGAAAAAATCTGATGATTTATATGCCCCATATGTGAAATGTCAATAAGTTTTTCATTTATCTGCTGAACTTACAGAGGTTTTTGTCAATGGAGTATCAGTCCTATATACCAAAATAGATAATTAGAATTACTGCTTCTGGTTTGGTTTGGGTTGGGTTGGGTTTATTTTCTCTGTGTATTACCTTAATACATTTACTAATAGCTTCAATTCTAATTCTCTTTCCTGTCAGTCAAAACTTCTTGTGTACAATCATTTGCTTTTTTCAATATAAGAATTTGTACATAATTCTTTAATTGTGGTAAGAGACTTTATTTATGCACAATTGTAGCAGGTTTTTTTCTGGTTTATGTTGATTATTTCAAGAGTAGAAAATAAATATGCATTTTCCTATGTTGTAGAGATAATAAAAAGAACCAATGATAATTACTGCACTTTGTAATTTTTTTCTTTTTTGCCTTAGGCCTTAAAGAACGCAGTACACACCTCTCTATTTTCACAGGGTTTCTGAGAACCTCTGCAAGAGTTAATGATGCAGACAAAATTATTTCCATTTTTGTTTTCAAGTACTTATTGCAAAAGCTTTTTCTTTTCCTTCCTGTTAGTGATTTCATAATCACAATAAAGGAGGAAATTATTTGGAAATAGGAGAATGTGTCTGGTCTGATGTGGAGTCACTGACTGGTATTTGCCATATTATTTTCCTGATATTTATGAGGTAAACATGTCAGCAAAATTAACTTTCAAATCCTTTCACCCTTCTAGGTGAAATTCAGTCTTGTGCATGAAGTCTGTAAAGGTAGAAAACTTTATCACAATCTACTCTTCTATATTCAGGAAGATGAATGAAAGAGAAAAATATTTTCTGAGCTATTGTTTGCCTTTGACACTGATGGAGGATATAAATTTAATAATTTTCAGTGTCTAATCAGACAGAAAAGAATGAATGGCCAGGTACTCTCAAACTGTATCTTAAAAAATATTTCTGGTAAAATATAGTCTCATACAGTAGTTTATAAAAGAAATTATCAGTGAGAGAAAGCATTATGGAATCTCAAAACAGAAATAATTTTGTTTTACAGACTGTATTATATATTTCTTAAAAAATACAAAAGAAGCAAAAGGGTTTGCATAGCAATAAATTGGTCTTTTAGCATAATTAAATTATTACAGAACTACTCTTTGTGTTTAAGAAATCATATATTTACCAACTCAGGACAATTTTGCATTTTCACTTTGAAGGGTTTAGGAACTCAGTCTTGGTTACTGAGTAATATGAAACTGTTCTAAAGAAAGATGTAAATCAGAGTCCTTTTCTTCTGCAAACAAGCTATTATTTTTTCAATTTCCACTGAAAATACAGGTAGAAATTCCATTAGAATATAGTTCTGGCATGCTCATCCTTTTAGCTGATGGAAAAAAAAAAAGAGTGAAAAAACACTAGCTGGATTTTGTGAATTGCAAAGTAAATAATTATTATTTTTGACTAATAAAGTAAAATAAAATTAATAAAATGCACTTTCGAGGATTCCTTATTCATCTAATATTTCATATTTTGTTCTTAACAGGTTAGTAATTAGCTCATAACATCCTCACCATCACCCCCGCCAAAGTGAAACAAACCTTACCAAAATCAGTTTTCCTGTTCTGACTTGTGAACATCCCTGATCAGTGCTGTTGCACAGTTCAGCTGAATCTCCTGGTGAAAGTGATTTTCTCACTTCAGCTGATTTTCTTTAGTTTTAGAGTGTGCTCCTTCTGCCTTCTGCTTTCGTGGTATATCTTCCAGGCAGTAAAAAGCAGTCAGCATCTGGAGGCAACAACCTGAATCAGAACTCTGCTTCTGTCTATGGACAGACTTGGTTATCCAAAGCAAAATAAGAGGTATCACTATCTGTAGTCCTGTCTGTAAATGCTTCATCATGTTATTAATTCGATGTGCATGATAAAATCACTTCTCTGCATGAATGATTGCAGAGTAATAGATCCCACGTGAAGGAAAGCAAAAGTGTGTCGTAGAAGGCAGCCTGGCATTGTGAAAATGACAGCTACTTTGAAACTAACTATGGGAATTTTGCATGCTTCACACCTCAGCTTTAGGACTTATCTGTAGTTATTCATTTTTTGTAATATCAGGACATGCTGAGGCACTGCTTCCATATGAATTTCTGTAGAGGATGACTTGAATCATCAATGTAAGTTTTTTTTTCAGCACTTGGCCTTCTCTTAGGGGTTTCCTCTAGTTTATGCTGTTTAGCTTGTTACAGCTGAAGAAATCCTGTCCCCAGGACATAAACATTACAAAAATCCAAGCTCCAATCCCATAATTATATATAACTGAAAGGTTTCTTGTTCCCCATTGTGCTGTGATTTCTGCCAAAACAACATAGTAAACAGTCCCTGATAGTGCAACTAGCTAATACAGAATTACAATGTATTTTGATTGAGTAGCACTTTTGAAGCCTAAAGGACTTCAGTGAAGGTTTTTTTAAGTAACCGTTCAATGGAATTCACGCCATAAATGTGTGAATTTTCCTAACAAAGCACTGTATGTTTTTCTTTTTAAGTAATTAGCCATTATTTTTGCAATTCTTTTTAGAACTATTGGATACAAAAAGAAGTATGTAAAAGTTCCACATGGGCATATTTGGGTGGAAGGTGATCATCACGGACACAGCTTTGACAGCAATGCTTTTGGCCCGGTAAGTCAATTTTCTGTATATCATTTACAATTTGCAACTGAAAAGCATTGCATGTCTCCTGGGTCGTTTGTACAACACAGAAGTACGAATTGACTGTGACAGTATTTTTGTGAGAATTATTAAACTTTATCAGTGGAGATTGAGTTTATTCTTAACTATTAGAAAAAGAACAAAGACTCCTTTTAATTTCCCCATGTGGAAAGAGCAGTGATAGAGTTTTTAAATTTGAAGGGATGTACTGGAGGAGTAGCCAGAGGGCGAGCCAGATCCCTGTAGCTGACAGATGCTCCCTGAGGACATGTTGCCAGCTGATGTAATTTGGAATAGTTCCCTCCCAGGAGTTTGGTCTTGCTTTAGTGCCAGTACTGGGGTAAAAAATTAGGAAATTGTAATTGTGCTTAGCAAATGTTAACTGTTAAATTGGTCTGTGGACGATGCTAGAGATATTTCAAAAATTTCCCAAAAATAAATATGTGTGTTTTCTTTACATAGGGCCATTTTCTTATTGAATAAAGGCAAAACAAAAATTTGTTTCTTGACTGGTAGAACTGTGCATCTGTTCATCAAAAGACAGTAAATGCTTTCTCTGCACTTCAGTTTTGGTTTGGTTTTGCTTTTGTTAACTTTGTGCAGATTCCTGTTCTTGTCTTAGATTCAGCTAGCATGCAGGAAATAGCTACATGAGCTGTGCATCCTGCTGTGGAAATACAAATCCTTTTTGCCCTACTCCATATGCAGGGTTTTGACATGTGTTTTTAAGAGACAATGCTTTTCTGATACAAAAGACACCCACTAGCTGTCACAGGGAAGTTGTCAAGGCTGGATTTTTCCTCCTTTGTGCACCCATGTTTCATACAGAAGTCAGCCCACTGGCCAATTTTATTAAAAACAGCAAAGAACTTATGAATTTGTCTGGTGTCTGGAAGTTTAACCTAATTACTAACTTTAAATAATTCATTCTCAGGAAAAAATAACAAAAAGACCTACTGTCTCTGTCTGGTCTGGAGTACGTGATGCCATTGCTTCCTTTGGATGGTCTCACGTATTTTTTTGTGCTTGTGTTTCTTGCTATTTTCCATTACTGCTTTCCTGCCAATATCTTCTAAGATTTCTAACATTTAGTTTTAAAGGTTCTTTCCTGCAGAATTTAATTCAGTCTATCCTGTGCAGGTATCTCTTTCCTTTTCTGTCTCACTCTTTGTTCCCAAGGTAAATCTTAGCTATAAAACCACTAATCTTTTCAATTACAAATATACTTGCAATGTAGCCTCTGAACAGAAGGAAACTTTCAGATTTAAAGCAGACTTGCAGCAACTCACACAATAGTTAATACAAGGTAAAATCCTCAAGGTAGGCCCTATACAGCTTTCATGCAAGATAGCATGTTGGGGTAGATGTAACTACCCTCAGACTTTTACTCAATTCCCTGATGTTTATAAATATTAGAAAAGTGCCTTCACTAGGCTTTGACCTCACATTAGTCATCAGCTGCTAGCTAAAATTGGATAGTATGTCATTTTTCTTATAGTAATGGCACCTTTTGAAAGCTTGTAAGATCGTTTTTGACAGTGAATTCTTTAGCATTCCACAGGAATAATGACCTTTATATTGTGTAGACTATGGGCAAATCAGTTGTATTTTCCTCTGAAATTAAGAGGCATTTTCCTTTGAAATTAAATTATAGAAGCAATTTGAATGCAGGCAAAAGGGGGCAGAAGCGATCACAGGGATAAAAAATAGCTTGAGAATAATAAAATTTGGAAAATTTTCCTCTGTAGAAGAAAATGGAAAGCATGTTTAGAAGGACACACTGGACTCCAGGTTCTTTTCCATTCTACATGTTTGTTTTTCGGTTACTGGGACACTTTCTACCCCTATGTCAGCTTTACTCTGGAGATTACTTGCACAGGTGAATTAAAATATAAAAATCACTCTCTTCAATCCATTCAGAAGGTATGTTCTATTTAAAAGCGTTTTCTCTTATAAGACTGTGGCAGTCATAGGGAGCAGACTACACAACAAGGACAGGAAAGCATTTTTCTCACTTTGCTAGAGATTAGTTTAAATGTTATGTGTGTCACAATTATTACTTGCAAACCCAGACAAATTTTCTTGGATCAAAAGATTCAGTAAAAATAGTGTATTTTTTTAAGGTGCATTATGTTGTAGGCTACCATGCAATCTTGTGGTAGAAAAACGTATATAGTGCAGACAGTCAGACCCAGTAATGTTGGGTAGATAAGTTTAATGAGTTACATAAGACATAAAAGGAAACTATGGAAAAACAGGATGAGAACAGATGTTAGAATATTTTTTTCTCTTGGAGGATAACAGTATGTGTAATGGCCTAATGGGTTAGTTTGATAAAGCCAAAACCCTGATAACAATCAAGTTTTAAATTAGATGAACCTTTGGAGAGATATGAATTTCTAAAATGTAAAACCTTGTAAAATTAAAATATCTCTACTTAGTTCATAAAATGTTATAAAATATATTACCTGTTATTACATGATTTTTATAGCACTAAAATTGGAATATTGAGGCATAGAGAGACATTTTTCTGAAGTGTGTAAATACGATGAAAATGTTTCAACTAAGATTTGTAAACGTTTAATATTTCTTTTCTACCTAATCATGTCTTTGAATAAATGAACACCTTGTACCAGGACATCTATGGGTAATGTTGGATAAGAAATGCTGTTAAATTGCTATAATAAAAATTAAACATCAATTGCCTCTCCAGAATACTGGACTAAATTTAGTAGTGTATGTTTGTTGTGCATTGTCTTTAAAAAATGCTTTGAGTAATACAGAATGGCAGGTGTTGTACTGTCGTTTTGATACTGCTATTTCAGGTTTGGAAATATGTCATGTCAGCCATTCATAATGCTGAAAATAGCTGTTTTGAATAGAAGCCAATAAATATTCACAGTACTTGCATCTTTTTACTATTATTTAAGGGGATAAAAAATTACATACAGCTGGATTTTTTTTTCAATTACCGGGACTAGCATAGAGATTTCTTCTCAGTTGGATATTACTGTTATCAAATTATTATAGAGTGAAATCAAACTTTTATGATATTACCTTAGCATTCCTTAATTGGCATACTATAGGAATATAATAATAGTTGATTTTGTTTTCAGTTCTGATAATTTTGCTGTTTTGGAGGGCCTTTTTACTATGAGGTTGTAGTTCGACAGCATGAGAAATATAACATTAATGTTCCTGGCAATACTGCTTCTTTTTTAGATCAGAAACGCAGAAGACACATTATAAAGAATTGAGGAAGTATTAAACTTGATCAATTAGTAAACTCCTCTGCTGCTTCCAATTTCTTACAGATTTTAATGGGTTAACTTTATGCCAGATCAGTTACTGTCATTGCTTGCACAGCCAGGTTAATGCCAGCATAAAACCAAAGTGATAATTCATATTCTGAATCTGTCAGTCTGGCTAAATCAAGGGAAGAGTCATTATAGACTGTACTTTGCCCAGATCAAATGTGTAGAGTTGGCATCTAGCAGTTCAGAGATGGTTATGCAACCAACATGTAAGGACATCTGAGAAATACCTAGTAAGAAGTGCATACAGTGACTGATAGATAGATATATATATATTTCTGGATGTAAACACATGCAGTGAGTAGCTTTTCCAGAATAAGAAAAAAAAAAAAAAAAAAAGTTAATTTACCAAAGGAATCCCTATAAGATGAAACTCAACTATTTTTTTTTTCTTTTATTATTACTACATTTCTGTGTTTCCAAATGCTTACAAGATGAGGATCTGAAAGACCTTTATAAAATTAGGGCTTGAAGTCAGTGGCAGTCATTCAGCTGTCTTCTAAAGGACCTGAACAAAAGTTCATTAAAGTCAATGAGAGATTTCCTTTGACTTTAATGGATTTGGATAAGGCTCTTTATGAGTTAAGCTTCACAATCCAGTGTAAGAGGAAAAAAGCTATTATCTCCCTTATCTTCCTGGGAAACCTGAGACACAGTATGTTGAGTACTTTGTCATTAAACATATTTGGCTCAGCCAGGTCCCTATCCTAGTTCTTTTACTAAAAATAGTTATCTTTTGATGTATTTACTCTCAAAACTAAATCCTGTTGAACCTGAGCCTGGCTTTTTATTTAATAGAAGTTTTACATTCATAAGCTTTACATGAGTAAATAGCTTTTAGTCAGCATTACTGTAGAGGCCATTTTTATGATTGCCTATATAAGCAATTTTGTACTGTTAAGTTCATGTAATAAACTATCTGAAAAATATTACTGTCTAACTAATTTTCTTCAGCCCAAGCCTGTAGACTGTGACTAGAAAAGAGTAGAATCACATTCAAAATAATATGCTGAGTTTGTTAGTTATTTTAATTTGCTTTTCAAAAGCTACCATCATCTCTCTTCAGATATGGCAGAAATGGTTTAACTGCTAACCGTCAGTGGGCAAATTCAATTAATAATAGGAATGGAGTATCCCTATTATAACTATTTTCTTAAACTGATCCAGTGTTTCCCTCTGTGAGTACTGTTAGTGAATGTAAGCGGTCAAAACCAGAAAATATTAAAAGTTCATTAGACAATAAGGTGAACTGAAATAAAACTTTCTTAGTGAAGGGCATTGTTGGTAAACAAAATACTTGAATCAAGAGGTTTGCAGCTTGTGAGAATAGCCTGGCTTTGTATCATCTGTCTTCTTCTAAGGTTCAGAAGACAGTTTAAGGAAGAAGCAGATATCTTTCTGCAGTTCTGGATTACTTGCATAATAGCAGGCAATGAATGCCACGTCCTAAAAGTGCGCATCATCTCAGTGATGATCTTGCCATCTGCTGAGGGTTTCATGAGCTGCAAACAAGTGCAAGAATCACATATCCCCCTGAAATGGAGCAGCCTCTAAGGCAAAATATGGGAAGAGTTTAACAGCTCACAGCAGTGTGCTGAACAGCACCATGTTAAAATTGCACAGTAAGGTATACAGGCAGGGCAGAATCATCCCACA